AGATGCAAAACCCGGCGGTCTTCGGCAATCCCCGGTTGTGACGTCATTCCCAGGACCAAGGAGAATCTTGTTGAATAGCGTGATACACACTTTGCACCCGCGAGTCAAGGATATCATGGAATTGTTCCAGTTTCAAGCTATCGAAGTTTGTAGCAAAGGATGCCGCGGCGTTGTGTAGCAATTCTTTGTTCCCATTCATGTCACCAGCTATTTGAATGGCTAAAAGACCGTGACAGAGCAAGGAAGTGTACACATTTTGTGCATTCCAAGCAGAGCATTTTTCAGCCTGTGCCAATCAGCATACTTTGCCTGAAACACTTCGAGCCCGATTGCTTTGCGAACAGAATGGATTTGCAAAACGGTAGGCCATTTCCAATTTATATTTGTCATGATCACAATTGCGCAAAACAAACTCTGAAAGAGCGGTTTTGCTTGGCGGCGTAGCAAACATTCATTGCGTGGGTACGACACAGTGTGCCGACTGCATTGCAAGTGTGCATGTATTACTACACAGAGGTAAGGTAGGTACACCCCAAAAAGCACAACACAAATAAATACCGATGCCCCTCCACTCGCAAATGGATGTAGGCCTGCGCCATGGCTGCAGAAATTTTGTACCATACAGAAGCAGGATCACATGTTCGACTATAAAAAAATAATTTAGAAAATTACCATTCATTCAGTCTCTTCGGGTCTCGATGCCACTCCATGTCTGGCTGGTTTGGCACAACTTCCACGACATCCATAGCGTCGGGCTCGTGCATGTATGGTCCAACAACCATCAACCCTTGATATTCCTCTCATCCCAACTCTTCGAAGACGTAGGCACCCTCTGAAGAACTTGTATCAATGTCCTGGTCGGAATAATCCGATGAAACTTCATTGCCGCTGTAGTCTTGTAGTGAGCGCCATGTACAATGCAGAGAATGCTGTGATCGTGTTCTGGAATTGACGTCACACATCCGGGTTCCGGATTTTCGCGGGAAAATATAACGACTTCGGAAAATTGAAATAAATCAATTTTGGGGAATTATTTTCAGATTTCCCTTTTTACTCTTATTTGAGAGATGGTTTACGAGTTAATTCTCCCTTTTTAAATTTCTTAGTTGTTACTTCACATAAGCCCTTTAAGAATAATCACAATGCATTAACTGTAAACAAAACGAATGATAAGGAAACAAAACAGGAGAAGATGAAGCAATGGGAGGCAGGGTGTACCGTTCTGACAGCATGGCTAATTTAGGGCCCTATCACAATAGCACTTTTTCCGTCACTTTTTTGCGTTTCCGAATGAACTCCATATGAAAATCATGTAAACAAACATGGCGCTATCGAAGTGAGGTCCCGGGAATCACTCGAACATTCTCATACATATTACGTTATTTTAAAGAAATATGGTGATGTATATTGTATATACGAATGTTCGAAAATATAGCTTATGTTTACATTCACTCATCCTCTCTAACTTATTAATAGCACAAGATCAACACGGAAATTAGTCAGACGGAGACGGTCGTAACCGTCTTGGTTTGTAGACGATCCCCCTCACATTCAGACGGGTTGACGGAAAAAGTGATTGTGTGATTAGACAGTGTCTGTAGACAAGATTGATTACAGTGTAAGCAGTGCATGCATGTGCTTATGTATATGCGTATAGATGCTGACTGCAACGAGTATTGTGGCACGTCAGGCTACTCATAAGAGTGTGAGCATATACAAATCTCGTAGAGCAGTGTCCGGTGAGAATGGCCCCGTCACCAGCTGCGATAGCTCTAAGTAGCTGAAATGGGTGGTCTCATATATATGTGTGTGTGTGTGTGTGTGTGTGTGTGTGTGTGTGTGTGTGTGTGTGTGTGTGTGTGTGTGTGTGTGTGTGTGTGTGTGTGTGTGTGCGCGCGCGCGTTATTCATGCATACACACACACACATAGGAGCTTTGGCTTACACTGGCAGCAACTTCCTACCTTCCTGCTTTCCCTTACATCACCAGGTATATACATCCACATGTATATACATACTCTCTCGTACATACATTCTCACGTTTTCTTTCGCATTTCTCACCCACAGGATCTATCTATGTGGACCGTGCGTGCCTGCTGATGAGTGAAAACATCAGCAAAGGGAAAAGCTTCACAGAGATACTGGAACATCTGTGCCAAGAAATGCACGAAATTCTTCAAGAGGAAGACGAAGAGGGTGGGGTGTACAAGCACGGGTGTCACTTTACTTCCTATTTCCGGAAGACCCTTAAACTGCCTGTTACACGATATAGCAATTAAGACCTACCTCCCCCACCACCAGCCCCACCCCCCAAGCACACACGCACACACAATTAGTATCTATGCACGAGTCAGTCAGACCCTCCCCTCCCTCCTCAAGTTTCGACACCTATTCCACGCCGAATAGACCTAATCTTGACCCAGTGTTATTGTTTCACTGGTGAATCCTGAGCTAATCATCTAATTTAAGCAAATAAAAGTGAATCTTGAACGAATACTTTGGTTCTGAGAGTGAGTAGGCATCGAATATTGGTCATAATCCCTAATCAAGAGTTAAACACCCCATACAAGAATTTTCCCATGAGAAAGTCCTACACACCACCGCCGGACGATCAAGTTGGCAGCAGCCTAGCCATGCTGTCCAGCACACGGATTGCGGTGTTTTAATGAACCGATGTCATGGTTACAAGTTGTATTTGGACTTTGTAAGACACTCGACTCTTTCTGAAATTGTGTTGGTTTCGGTCATGACACTTCTGGCTTACACAAATTCGCCCTAGCCTGTTGTGCTGTGGTTTTGAAAAAGAAAAAAATCTCTTCACTGTAGTCAATTTCTCATATAAAGTGGTGAATCTTCGCCCAACGTATTCCCAACATGTAGGAATCTAAAGTGGATCTTAAGAGTACATGAAACAATGTGAATGGAGGTGAATGTTTGAGGAGGGGATGTTGGAGGTTCCGACCGACGGGTGCATTAGTCTAAAGGCCCTAGCACACTATCACTTTTTTCTGTCAATTTTTGCATTATCGTATGAAATTTTCGTATGGAAAGGGACTGACCCTACCACACTACCAAGACAGCATACACTGCCAATGTAAACAAACATATCGCCATTGGAGTGAGGTCCCGGGAATCACACGAGCATTCTCATACATATCACGTTATCTTGAGGAAATATGATCATGTATATTGTTTCTATGAATGTTATAAAATATTAGCTTATGCGGAAATGGTCGCAACCATCTTGTGAAAAGCCTCATATTCAGACGGAAACGCAAAGGCTGACGGAAAAAATGCTAGTGTGACAGGGCCTTAAGTAGCATAAGCATTTATAGATTAAACTGCTTAAATCTCTTAATCTTACACGGCGTATTTTACTTAAGATCTCCATATGATTAATTGTATTTAATTCCCAAAAGTATATACACATCTTGTTTATCTCTCTCTACTTACCTTGAGTTATTCTGCTGATACACTGAGAAAGGGACGGCGACATTTACACAAAGGCGCTTCCGCAACTGTGTTCTGTCAGGTTGTTTTTCCGAACTCAGATATACTACTGTCTAGCTCAGTGTTGTCCAAACTGGGGTCCGCGTACCCCTGGAGTTACGTAGCATAGATCATACAGTACGTGAACAAACATTAAGCTGTGTATTTTTAAAGCATTTTGTTATTAAATACTCTTTTTTATTTGTTTATTAAATTCGAATTTATTGACTAACACCTGCAATGCAGTCTTTTCATAATTAGTATATTATTTGCATTGTAAAACAGTTTGTTTAGACATGGTGGACGGGGAAGGGGGACGTAAAGGTAGAAGGTAATAAAATGTTTGGACAACACTGGTCTAGCTATTTGTGTTTATCCTTTTCCTTGATTTTTGTAAAGCTTCTTTGGTATTATTTAATTGTCTTCAATGTTATGAATAGTGTAATGACAATCTTAATAACCATGATATTAATAAGAATTATAACAGTATTAATATTAATAGTAGTAGAAGGAAAAACACATATTCCGCTATTTCAAGGAAGGAGTACATCAGGCGCAATCCCTAGGGACTCCTTGGTGGCTGAGCGTATGTGGAGCCATCTGTACGTAACAAAATTAAAAAAAAAAACGACAGGGAGTAGTACATACGTCTATAGTCACTGGGTCAACTGCTGGGTATTAAATATCTTGATTTGCCCAGAATTTAAGGTTGTAATGCTGAATATGTGAGTTGATGTAAATGTTGAATCCATATAGAACTGTGGTAAGTCAGACAGGTCTTTGCTCTCCTCCTGCATACAAAAAAAATGGTAGGAAGAATTCATGGCTGACCTAGACACCATGATTTGCCAGCCCAAAGATCGATTTTTTTTTTTTTTTTTTCCGTGGATACAAATGAATTACTGAAAAGAGACTATGCCAAAGAATGAAATGGAAGCAGGTCAATATATCAAAGATATGTGTAGGAAAAGGAAAATCATGAGAAAGGAAGGACTGATGACTTACTCGTCCAAGTAAGATATGATTATATCTGTTATCATGAATATTATTGCTTTATAAAATGTATTCAAGATGTAAAGATAACCTTAGAAATAAATTGATGTAATAAAAGAATATTCCTGTCATTTCCTTACACTTATTATTGCTAATCTTAAGGAACCCATTGTAATATACTTGTTTATTGTTATTTTTTCTTTTTCTTTATTTTTCTTTTCTTTTCAGGAGGAGGAGGGAGAGGAAGAAGAAGAAGAGGAAGAGAAAGGGGATGGGGAAGGGGATGCTGCAGCTCTAGTTGCAATTCTCACGGCTACCGGCGGTTGTTATGACCCTCTTGCCCGGAGCGGCGGCCTGGCTCGACCCTCCAGAACAGATTGCCGCGTTAAAAAGTTCGGCCGAGCGGAGGAGGCTGGCTGATGCGGGTTTTAAAGAGGGAATTCTCGCGAGTAATCAAAGGCGGTCTGTTTTGAGGGAGAAACGGGGGTTGGGGGGGCTTGGGTGGTGAAGGTCGCCGTTGTTCGCGAGTAAACAAAGGCGGTCTGTTTTGAGGGAGAAACGGGGGTTGGAGGTTGGTGGGGGGGGGGGCTGGCTTGGGTGGTGAAGGTCGCCGTTGTTCGCGAGTAATCAAAGGCGGTCTGTTTTGAGGGAAAACGGGGGTTGGAGGGTTGGTGGGGGGGGGGGGGCTAGCTTGGGTGGTGAAGGTCGCCGTTGTTCGCGAGTAATCAAAGGCGGTCTTTTTGAGGTAGAAACGGGGGGGGGGGGCTTGGGTGGTGAAGGTCGCCGTTGTTCAAGGTCTTGTGGCTACGTGGACTGAGAAAGGAAAGATAAAGTTATGCATATATATATGCATTTGTGTGGGTATATATATATATATATATATATATATATATATATACATATTTATGTATATATATACATGTGTATATGTATATATACATATATATGTATATGTTTATATATATATATATATATATATATATATATATATATATATATATATATATATGCACATACGCATACACGTGTGTGTGTGTATATATGTGTATATATGCATATATATACTTATTTTATATATATACATATATATAAATATACATATGTGTGTGTGGGGGGGGGGGATATACACACAAACACACTATATACATATCTATATTTATATCTATGTATCTATCTATATATATGTATATATGTGTATATATATATATATATATATATATATATATATATATATATATATATATATATATATATATATATATGTACATATATATATATATATATATGTATATATATATTCATTTATTTAATTATGCATGTATATATATATATATATTATATATATATATATATATATATATATATATATATATATATATATATATATATATATATATATATATATATATATATATATATATATATATATATATATATATATATATATATATATATATATATATATATATATATGTATGTATGTATGTGCACACACACACGCACGCACACAAATACACACACACACGTATCGGTGTGTGTATTCTATGCGTATACACGTATCTAAAAGTGTGCGTGTGCGTGTGGGTTGTGTACAAAAAAGGTGAGTGAACGAAAAACACTCATGAAAATTAAGGTACTAATGTACAAGGTACAAGATATACTCAGGCGAATCTCATGCCTCCTGTATGTTATTGGTTGCGTCTAACCAGCTGCATCCAAAGGAGAAGAAAAGGATCTTATTCGTTTCAATTTATTCTTCAGCAAATACAGCTAATTTGCTTCGTACGAAAACAAATACAAAACATTAATTGCAAGTGACAAGAACACAACCGCCCCTCTGAGAACACAAACGTCCTCACTTGTAAGCAATGAAATTCCAAAACGTGGCACTCAAGTGATTTCTATGCTGGCACTTCTACAACATAATGCACGTGGACGAAAGCAAAACGCTCCGTTAGCGCCTCCTTAGCGTCGCACACGATGCCGAGTTGGCCGCTTGTGCTTGTGTGTCGCCGCTGGAATCGGAAGAGCCCGACCCTGGAGGCGGAAGCGCAGTGGGTTCTCTTGGCACTGTAAGTGGTCCTGAAGTGGTTCCTCCGAAGAGACAGATAGAGTCCACTTCGCAGGTTCCGACTCTGTTACGGACTTGGCATTTCCCAGGGCAGCCTCGTGTCGGGAAACCAATGATCGTGGGTCGGGGTAGGTGCGTGGTGGTAGGGGGCAGTGTGGGCCGCACTTCAGGAGGAGAGGTGGTAGTCTGCAGATACTTCGGGGGCGGCAGAGGCGGGAAGGTGGGCATGATTCCATGGCGAAACCCGCAGACGACATCGAACACGCACTTGCAGTTTACATCGAGCGTGTAACACTTGTGGCGACACGAGGGACACGAGGCTATGCCCGGACTCCCTTGCCAAGTGCCGTCAGATGTCCCTCCTCCGTAATACCGAGGCGGGTTTCCTAGCCCCGGGGGTCCCGGAAGCCCCGCAGGTGAGCCCCAATCCCGAGCGAAACCGCTCCTCCTGACGGGGCCTTCGGGCAGCGCGGAGGAGCTCGACAAAGCTCCCCAGGCGAGAAGCAGCAGTACCGCCACTCGCGACATGCTGTTGACTGGAAGTTCCGATCTGAAAGGGGAATGCCCACGGTGCCCCGCGCGAGCCCGGCCGAATGACCTATGTTTCCGGTCGACAGTTGTCAGCTCGCGCAATACCACGAATGGGTTTACGTGAAAGCAATCATATCCAATAACTATAATATGGAATCACTGCTTGGTAGCTTTGGCCGTCCATATCTTGAATAGTTCGCGTTTTATTTCACTTTTTCTTTTAACCAAAACAGAAAGTAAATACAAAAAAATATGACACTGAATGTTAACTTTTCAGAAGGCATATCAGATACCAAAGCCGGTATCTCGGAAGCACACACCTCCGTTTGTAAACTAAAGTTGGTCATTTAACTTAGTACTAGTCGCTAATGGTTGCACTATACAGTGTCCCCTGTAGAGACACATAGCGCCTACAAT